TATCAGTATTTCATTCTGACGATGCATGCCGGCTGTAGAGGATAAGCAGTATCACAACGAGCAAGTATATGTTACAAAATTAGGCTCAGAAGAAAAAGTCAAGTTCATGTTCAAAAAATTAATTGTCGCACACCTAATGCTTCTTTATTCTTTAACAAGCAAAACTCAACTGTCACTTTCTCTCCTTAAATTTACTGTAGCTCAATTATTCGCTAAACATGGCTGTTACAGTATTTGTAACACTATCTCAAGCAACAGGTTTCAAATGATCTACCCGATCAGCGTGGAGGATGAAAACTATAGCTCTCATCATATTATTACAACAGATCCACTATAATTTCTGGAGGAGAGACAAAAGAAATAATGCTTGGTTTAATGCACCAGGAAAGAAAAATTAGTTAAACGAATTACATAAAAAATACTCACTGTAATAAAAAAAAAACATACATTTTCTGGGACAGAACCTCGAAATAAATCGAATAATCCCATTTGTTTTGTTACTGGAGCTGAAAAATGATAAGAAAACGTTCGAAGAGTAAAATTTGTGTGACAGATATGACGCTTTATATATTCTGATATGTTAAGATGAGAAGATTCACAGAGTAAGTTATCTAATTGAGTAAGTTCGTATTTGAACATTGATTTCATGAACATTTTACTTTAATAACAAAAGGAGGACATTTGGAAAACATAAGCCCCATTTATAATAGGGCAAAATAAAAAGCTAATCCGACATATGCGACAGTACTTTATGATAACCTGCGAAAAAAACACAACCTCTAGGGACTTCCGACTAATTTCGGTCATACGACGGTATGTTCATAATCTGTATGTTTGCAGGAAAAATTTAAAGATTATTTGAATTCGCAAAATTGGCGAACTTCCAAAAAACGTTTTGAAATTTGCGGGAAAAATGAATTTGAATGTTCAAGCAAAAACCTTTGGCTTTTTCTGGCCTTCAAAACCTTGTTATTTCACTATCGTTTTGTTCATTGCTGTGATAAATGTGAAAAAAAAGAAGGCTGGAGTTAATTTTTTAGAATTTTAGTCGTTTTTTGAATTGTGCTCTGTATAAAGTTGGTGTTAAAATTCTTTTTGTGGTTTTTTTTCTTCTGATCCGATATCCATCAGAAATTTGAAAACTGAATTATATATCAGTATTTACACCGTCAATATATACGCATACGTCATTTGAGACTTTCACAACGGATGAGTGCGTATGCAATTTACCTTTAGTAGAAAAAAAAAGAACTTATTCCATTCGTTATTTTTCAGGAACAAATATAACACTCGAAGACATGCAGTAAACCTTTCTTAAAAACTGAAAAAACTGTTTGGAGCAAACTGTAGTCGAGGAAACTACTGTGTTTTTGTCACATTCATAATATAATTGTATGCAGTCATCACGTGAATAAAATCTGCCATATGAATCTATAAAATTTTTACTGCAGTAAAAGTCGTGTTTTAGAGTCTTGAAATTGGAATGGAGAATCGCATCAAACTGAGGAGCTGCAAAACTAATACGTCTCCTGTGAGAGAAGATGAACTGCAAAAGCCTGAATTGGGTGATGGTACTTCTGCTTTCGAAGGTCGTTTTAAGGCTACGAGAATGGTAAAGATTTTTGTGCTACAGTTTACTACAGTTTTCCAGTCGTCGGTTTTTTCGTCTGGTCATTCTATCTGGATTTGAATTGTTTTTGCAAGCATCAGTCGTATTTTTTTTCTTTTGATTTACCGGCTGAATCCCTTACTGAATTTTCGATCACTCTTTAGGGGTTTTCTTTCAAGCTTGGATGTTTTTTTTTTTTCAAATTAGATCTTGAAGTAAAGTACGGGTAAAATTATGACGATTTGTGAAAATCAGTAGGATGAGCATTTTTCAGGCGAAGATTTACCATGTTAGTCTGCTACTTTTAGTGACCTAATTCGTAGCTTTTGGGTTAGCAGAGAAGTACGTTTAGGTAAGTTCAGCTGCGGTTCTTCGCTGAACTGAGTGTCTTGTATTGTTCTATTATATTCCTTTGACTTTCCGTAGGGGAAGTGGTTTTGATTCTGTTAGTACTTGAGGTTTGCTTTATTCAGTAGACTGGGGTTCACTTTTGAACGCTTTTTTTTGTTTTAACTCCGATGTGCTAACTTTTTTGGTAAAGCTGTTTTATTTTTAGTGGAATGGCGTAATGAAGAAGTTTCGCAATGGGATGCCTCTAAAAAGGCACAGACGGAAGGTATTTTTATATGAAGACAGCTTTACTGGGAAGGAGGCTGTAGATTTCCTAATGACTGAATTGCCGAAGTTTTACTCTGAGGAAAAAGAAATAACGAGGTGGTTTTACAGCGTTTGCATTTTATTTGTTATATTGATGGACTGCAGTTCTCGCATGTTTGACATTTTTTGCTGGAGAATTTTTGGTTCATAGAGATAACTACCTCTTAGCAGGATAGCTTAGGCTATTTTACTCAATTATAGGTCGAACTGTCATATGCTTCTTGAGAAATTTATTGATGTTGGCCTTTTTTTGCCTGTTAAGGGAAGTGGCAATGAGAGTAAGGACGAGTTCCGAGAAAGTGATATCTACAGGTACTTTTATTCTGGCATTGGATTTATTTCACAGAGTAGCTTTAGGTGTATATACCTAAATAATTTCTTCACTGCATTTTTTTCTCCTTCATTGTTCTTGTTTATTTTTTATGTGCCGGAAAAACTGCTGGTTTCATCTACAAGGTCTGCGTTTACTAGAAAACTTCTCCGTTCTCTTTTGGTCTTTTGTCTAGTTTAGGAAAAAAAATTATTGCACGGTTTGGTTTGAATAAGTTAAATTCAGTGAGGAATTGTTTCCTATATAGGGTTCTTTGAGTCTCGGCGTGGACCTTACGTTAGTGATAAATAAAACTGCGTTTTTAGGTTCTCTGACATTCCTTTAGAACGTGTAGCTGTTACACCTATCTTAGTAAGGCGTGCTGCATCTTTTAACGAGCGATGCGGTTTTGGAACTGGGTCGTGTAGTCGTGATTTGAGTAAAATCCCAAGGTTGCATTATGCTACTGTTCTAGACAAAATTTGTTTCTTTTTGGGTAACTTTTTGTATAAATTTGCTATTCACTTTAGACTTCCAAGAGGCAACAACTCACGACGAGTTGAGGACTATTTTACTCCTGCGGCTGAAGTCATACCGTCAGTGCGGTCTCCATTAGCAAAGTCGAAGCGCCTCTCTTCTTCAGATGGCAATTTAGTCTCAATGATGAGCCCAAAGGTAATGCTTCTGCACTCTTTTTTGTGGCATCTTGAGTAAAACCGTAGTTGACTTTTGGCGAAAAGTTGTGAAATATGCAACTGTATTTGTAATTTTGACTGGGCCGACCCGTTGGCGGTACGATTTGGTTATTTTACTTCTTTGTTAGGTTTTTTGGTCATTTCAAAACTTTTTTGGATTGTTCTATCAAAGTTTTTGAAAGATAGCTGTGAATTCGTTCGTTTTTTGTTATTTCGTTTGTAGATTTTTGATCCTCTGGGCACGGTAGTCTCGAATGATTTACCGGTTTCATTTGTTGATGAAGTCGTAAAAGAAAAAGACTCTCAAGGAAAGGACGAGGCTGTTGAAACTAAAGAAAACTCAAGTCCTCTGGACGAGGTAATTACGGAGTTGCAAAAGGTTGGGGAAACAAATATGAATGCTACATTGAGTATACGAAGTTTTGGAAAAGTTGTGCAGAATATGGTGAACGATGAAGTTTCGCCTAGTTTGCCAGAGGTAGTTATTGCTCATATATGATTCCTTTGTAGATTTACTGTGGAAATATTTCTGACCGTCCAGTTTATGGTGCCATTTTGATCACTGAATAAGTGCTTAATTGTTTTTTTTTTTTTTTT